TCATCAGCCTCCTCTCTCCAAGAGAGGCCACCAGCAATGGCCAAGAGAAGAGAAAACTGGAGCAAATGCATAGCCAGGCTTCTTCTGTGTCACCTTCCTGCCTGCAAGAACCTGCTCAAGTGGGAATTTTCATGTTATTAAGGCCACTTATGGTTTCTTGCTCTACAATTCTATCTTTTTCCCCATTTTTAAACTTCTAGCACCCACTACCTGTGACAAAGAGGATATTACACACCTCACTGCTGAATCCTCCAGTCTATGGTAGCAGGCAACCTAGTGCCTTGGTCCCAGTCCTCTTGGTTCTAACAACAGGCCAAGACCTCTTCCTACATCTGTTTCAAGCAGATGAGGTGATAGATCAGCTTTCTTTTGGTATTGTAAACTAATTTTATACTGAGAACTAGTGCCTCCTAGCTTGCTCCCAATTTGTCTTGCCATGTAAGCCCATGATGTGCTTGTGCTTGAGTAAAGCTATAAGCAGCTTGACTCCCTGCTTGCAAAGAGACCTCACTTCACTAAATGATACAAAACAGCTCTCCTCTTGTCCCGTCTTCATGAAACAACGTAGTGGCCTTACTGCTGGAGGAAATGGGAGAGTTCCCGAATAGATGTTAATCTACTAATTCAAATGCTTTCCATGAATGAGAGAATGACAAAGAACACTGCTGAAGTTTATAACACAGATTTCCATGCCATTTTTTTCAGGTGGTAGAAGAGTGAGGAACATACTGAAGCCTTTTCTTCTGCAACGCAGGCATTTCTGCACTCCCAGAAGTTGCCTGTGTCTCACCAATGTTTCTGAGGACACAACAAATAACAACCCGTTGTCCCTTCAGCTTTGGCACACCCATACCTGGCCCAGGTATGCCAGTCAAAGCCTTTTTCCCACAAAGGTTATACCATTTCAAATTACAGAAATAAATGTCACCACCAAATATATTTCTGATACCTGTATTAAGCTGCATATCCAGTGTTTTGTTGGTATTGAAATGGTACAGAATGATACTGGTTCCTAGCGCAGGCATGAGTTTTGGGCTGTTTTTCACTGGAAGTCTCCATCCTTCCAGTGCCTGATGCCCATTGACTTCTGGACGATGAATATATCCATCTTAATCACCAGCTATTTTATTTAAGACCTGCTCATTACTGATTGTATAGATAAACTATTCCTGTTTTGCTTAGCACGGTTTGGGGAGATAGGGAACAAACTTTCTCATCCTGGAATAAGCTGGAGCTACCCACACCATGACCCTGTGCAGGAGGTTGCCACTTCAGTGTGCCTGAGATACCTAGAGATTTTTAGCAGCAGGGCTTTGCTTACCTTGCTGATTTGCACAGATTTAAAAGAGGAAACACTCCCACAGGCAGATCCAAGCAGTCGAGCATGTTAAGAAATATTAATTGCTTAGCTTAAATAAGTAAATTTTAAATAGAATGAATCACTGAGAGTCAATCATTTAGTATTTGCACGCAGGGGTCATAGCATAATGTTGAGCAATTTGGTATACTCTGTGGTCATTACTTACACAGCATGAGTAGCTAGATTTGCTGAAGCCTTAGGCTGTAAGTCGTGAGCTTTCACCGAGATGTGCTTTCAGCTGGGACAGGGTTAATTTGCTTCTTAGTAGCTGGTACAGTGCTGTGCCTTGGATTTAGTATGAACATAATGTTGATAACACACTGCTGTTTTAGTTATTGCTAAGTAGTGCTTATCCTAAGTCTAGGACTTTTTGGTTTCCTGTGTTATGGCTAGCAAGCAGGTGCACAAGAAGCACAAACCATAAAATAAGGAGGCTACAACCATCAGCAGAAGCTGCAACTCAACAAGGTAGGAACAGTTAACAGCCTGCCTGGAGCCACAGAAAGAGTCCAAGAAGGTGTCAGACCAGAAATCACCATTGGGCTGAAAGGGCACTTGAAGAGTGTGTAAGGGGCGAGTGCATAGGTTGTAAGAGTATAATTATCCAGGGATTTCTTTGTTCAGGGTCCAGAGGCACTCAGCTCCAGCTGATTTTTTTGCAGCAATACCATCTGAATTTTTTTTTTCCATAAGATTCAGTACCTGAGACTGCTATAGGAAACTTAGGGTTTGAACTGCAAGGATAATACCAGACGCCCGGATGGTGCAGATTACCTTAACCAGCAACTCCAACAAGCAGAGCAGTCAGGAGTCGTTGAGGATAAACCACATAGGTGGGGCCATAAAAGAACCTTCCTGTCACCGTCACTGGAGTGGTCACGGTCAATGGCCAACCCTTGAAGCAGGTACAGCTCAGGAGCACCTGCTTAGCACTCACTGGAACAGCAGCAAAACCAAGGAGCACCAGGAGGGTTTCAACCCCAAAGGTTTTGCTCAGCAGCTTCTTTTCTTTTTAGTTCCAAGATGCAGCTGTACTACAGGCCAGCCTTTTTTCTTTCAGGGAGTCACGTACATTTACTTAGAAAAGTGACTGAAGTTCAAATAAATTCTAGCTTGCAGGCACAGAGGGTTATTGCACTAAGACAGAAACAGACCTTCTCTGTAGGGATGTAACTTCTAATTATGTATTGCTCCCTGCAGCCTGTATGCCAGGATCATTATTATCTTCCATGTTTATTAATCAGCTACCTGATGTTAACAAGAAGATAACTTCTATGAGATATGCAAATAATTCTGCAATTTTCTTTTCCGGTGAGTCAGCATTCATATCAGAAACGTGTTAACAGGATACAAAGGCTATTAAGAAGCCCTCTGAGTAATTATCATCTTCCTTGACTCCAGTTCTTAATAATTTATGGAAGAAAATGGATATTTTCTAATAGATGCTCCATCTTGCCAGAAGAAAAGGTGTGCAAATTATCTTTTCTTCTGTTTAAAATCTCGTGTCTTTCATTCTCCCTTCTCTAAAGACCTGTCTCTACAATTTTATTCAAATAAGGCAAAGTTAAATGCTCTCAGTGGAAAGAATTTGAACAAGTGAAACTAAATGCTTTCAGCATGGAGGAGACTGGACTGGCACCAAGTTAAAATATGAGTGTCACGTTGAGAGTTAATAAAGCACCTGCAGATTGCTTTTCCATATTTTCCCTGCAACATCAAGGGGAAGCATCCAGAACACAACACAGGGCTGCAAATGAGTTTGTGCTGCTGTCACAGAGAGACAACTGAAGCAATGTTAAATCAAAATGGTCCCATTCAACAAATTGATGAGCACGTAATTAACTCATTGGAAAATACATTAGTGTGGAGAATGTATTTTGGAGGGCAGCAATTCTCTTAGGTGATGTGATGACAGTGCACATCCATCTTGTGCTTGCTGTGCTAGAGTTGTTCAGGGGAGAGCTCATCTGGGCCACCAACAGCTGAGGCATAGAGCTCCTACTTGGTTTGTTATATTTGGGTTTTTTCCTGCACAAACACAGCTCTGTGCAAAAGCTTTGCACTTAACTGTTTAGTGACATGAACATAAGAAATGAACAACTTAGATAACTCCTACCCCTGGTTTTGTTTTCTTCACTTTCAGCTGGTACCTTTTGCTTTGAAAAAAATCACACCTTCAAGAAGCAGGGAAACCCACCCCAGCCTAACTTTCCAGTGTTTAAGCCCCTGATGCTACTTCTCCTAAGGAAATTTCTCTGGGACCTAAAGGTACCCCAAAGATGGCAAATCCAGCAACCACCCCACCAATAACAGGGTAACAGAAAGATGCCCTCTTCTCAAATGGCTTAGCAGACAAAGCTGGGGCAAAAACTTGGGCAAAGCTAGGGAAGGAGATCAAGCAGAGAGAAACATCCATCTACATGCTCCACCAGCCACAAAACATTCTGATCAGGCATCGTGCTTAAAATACTTAAGCCAGAGGCATTAGCATGAAACATCCCTCATGATGGGTAGTAATTTCAAAGGTGTGCTCTGAAAGGAAATCCAAGACTGCAATGAATTTGTAAAGGTTATCTGGAGGAATAAGAACATATTCAGCAGACAAAATAACCTCACTGTGATGGGAAGGGCACACTGTCAGAAACACACAAGAGAAAAAATAAGCCATGTTTGGAAGGACTCAGAGGCTGACACAGTGACAAGAAGGATGTGCGTGATGCCTGTATCTGTATGGGACCTACCAAAACAATTGATGGGTCTAAACCCCAACTCACATACATGAGCACAGGCCATGTATAGCGGGGACACCGCACGCGTATTTCCCACTTGCCCATGTTGCCCAACTCATTCTGTCATCAAAGCACAACTCTAAGGAGGTGAAGTCAAGGGGAATGCTGAAATTACAGCCAGGTACCCAGCATTAACTTTGCTGCTACCCTGCAAAGCTCTGACATTAAGAATTTCCATCCCACAACCATGGTCCTGGCACAGATTCTGCACTGTTTTGTGCATCACGGGAACAGAACTTGAATAGTTGGCCACTACTGGATATTTCAGAGGTCCCCCACAGGCATGATGGGGATAAGTGACCCCATGGGGACCGACTGGGAGGGCAGGCACAGACTTCCTTAGAATGATAGAAATGTTTAGGTTGGAAAAGACCTTTAAGGTCATCGAGTCCAACTGTTAAGCCTGCACTGCCAACTCCACCACTAAACCATGTTCCTAAGCACCTCATCTACCTGACTTTTAAATCCCTGCAGGGATGGTGACTCCACCACCGCCCTAGGCAGCCTGTTCCAGTGCTTGGCAACCCTTTTGGTGAAGAAATTTTTCCTAACATCCAAACTAAACCTCCCTGGAGCAACTGGAAGCCAATTTCCTCTTGAGGTCACCCCCTCCCCAAGCCTGCGGGTGAGAGGACAGCTCATGCCTCCCCCTCTCTCCCAGCACCTCCATCTCCACTGGTGGGTCCTTACCCCCTCCCTCTCTGGTACATTCCAGAGCCTTCCCACTCCTGTGAGTGCGTCCAAGCGTCCCCTCAGCTCCTCCCAGTCCCGCGCTGCTGCGCGTGCCGCCCCACGCCCTCCGCCGCGGCCGTTGCGCTCCGCCGCCTGCAGCCGTTGCCCCATTCGCGGACATGGCGTTGCCGGTGCGGGTGCTGGTGTTGCTGCCCGCTCTCCTTGCCGGTTCCGGGGATGGGGCAATCGGGGAGGGGCGGGCCGGTCCCAGCCCGGGGAAGGGGAATCCTTCGGGGGGTGCAGGGACCGGACACCGGCTGGTCCTGGGGGAGGTCAGAGGGAAGCCAGGCGGGACTAGGCGCCGTTAACGACGGTTGCTCTCCACAGGACTCCTGTCGTGTCCCGGAGCCGTCGCCAGCTTCCCGGTGAGTGCAGCCTGCCCCGCCGTCCCCGGGAAGGACGATCCCACCTGCCCTCCGTGTCGCTAACCAGACCCCCCGGTGCGGGGCGGCCCCTTCCCCACAGCCCCGGAGCTGACGCTGGGTGGGAGCACCTGGCCTGGAGCCACGGGGCTGAGCCACCCCTCCAGAGCCCCTGCTCTTCCCGAGGGGGTCTCTCCCCACATGCCCTGGTGAGCCCCATCTCTTACCAGCTCCAGCTGTGGTTGCCCTTCATGGGAACTGGCCATCCGTGTGTCTCAGTGGAAGGAGCTGCGTTTTGTAGCACCTGTTACGTCCTGAGACCACAGCTTGAGCCATGCTGGGCAGAAGCCAAGCAATAAATTCCCCTAAGGGCATTGAAAGATAATGTGGCAATTTATAGTGCTGTGCCAGCTCCTGTCTGTGCGTGAGTGTGCCAGAAGCTCTCAGATCGGGCTCAAGAGACCCCTTTCAAATGCTTTATCTTAGACTTTTTTTTGTACCTGTCTCCCCTAGCCTGACTGCAACAAGTATGGTCTTCCTGGATGTACCAGGGACTACAATCCAGTCTGTGGGACTGATGGAAAGACCTACGCAAACGAGTGTGTGCTCTGCCTTTCAAACAGGTAGTCACGTAACTGATGTCCTAACCTTCCCTATATGTGAGCAAAATACTCACTCTCACATCCCAATTAACTGAGATTTTTGGCTTTGGATTGTCTTCTCTAATGTCAATCCCTTGCAACAGCTTTTTTTGTAATACCTGTGAAGGGCTTAGACTGGATTCAGTTAGCTGGGAGTACCGGATGTTCACTGTATGATCCCTCAGTTCCAGATAGGTGCATGGTAGATTCCTGAATACAAGAATACAATTCTGCATGCAGCAGAAAGGGTTCTCTAGGCAAACCCACTGTTTATTTCCACTCAGTTCCTTAATTAATTAATTATGGGGCTTACATCTTATTGATACAAGATGTAATGTACATGTTTTGTATGAAATCATGGGGTTTAATCCAGTTACACACACAACATAGATTTTTATCTTAACCATCTTTTTTGCTGGCATCTTACATGCTCATAAACATACATTTTGGTCTGAAGGGGCACAGAGTGATCAGATACTATCCTGATGTTTTTTCTTTAATACATAAGTGGTTGGGATACTTGGTGGCTTTCTAGTTCAGTCTGGAATTGTTGTTCTGAAGTGACTGACTTGACATGAACACAACAAAGATAAAACACTTTGTGTTATTGTCATCTTTGGAAAACAGTTCATAGTCATAAGCAATGGTCATTTCATTTCAAGGAGTCTGAGGTACAGTCCATCACACTCCTTGGGTGGGGAGAACAACGAGATCTTTCTATCCTTCAAGACCAGGAGTTGCTGAGATACATATAGTGTGATGTGGTGATGTAGAAACAGACATGGGGGCATAACTCACAGTCAATTAACTGTCACACAGTCAGTTCTAAATTAACTTAGGTGATTCTCATCAGCCAGCTTGCAGGTCACTTCCAGCCTATGTTTAAGCCCATTAGAGAACTTTTCAAAGGGAGCTGCACTTCCCTGATGGCCCAGATGGCTCAGATCTAATCCATTTTTGAGTGGGTGCTCAAATGCAAACCCCACATCTCTTCCACACTTAGTGTCCAGTAGCAGTGACAACAGCTGATCCTAACTTACACCTAGCCTGGCAGCACCACATCACCTCTTTGGAAACAGACGCAGCAGCCTGAGCTGACTTTGCAGGGATCATTCTAAGGGTTGTCCTTCAGCCAGAACTGCTCCACTACCTTCTTGTTAAAAGGTCCTTGATACAACAATTACTACAGATTTTCCCTGGTTTTGGGTATCATAAGCCTCTTGAATTTCACGAGGAGTAAAAACCAGCTCAATTCTATTAAGACAGGGAAGTGCATTGAAGATCTAGGGCAGTTTGGATTCTATCACTTCATTTTGCTTGGTAAACTGAGATTTGTAAATGGAGCACCCCAAAGTGCCATGTATGGGACTTCCAAAAAGAAATCTAATGTTCCCAAAGTAAGGGCTAAAATTTCCTTAAAGTTCAGAGAACCACACATTCAGATTCTAGTGAAGCCTGGCATGCAGAATGCATCAGGATGCACACCTTTCCCACTGAATTCACACGTGAAAGGGGGAAATTTTGTAAGCATTAGAACTGGTCCCGCTTCAGGGACTGTGAAGTTTGACTTGCACTGGTGCTTTGTAAAGGACACTTTTGTCCTCAGGGCGAGACTTGTCATGGGGTTTGATACTTCACAGATTTGCAGGTGTCTCTATCAGATTTTTATAGGTAACAGCCTGAAGTGAGGCTGTCTCTGGTAGTCTGCTTTCTGTGTGTGTGTGATTCATAAATCTTTGCATCACAGTTACTTTGCGGTGAGCAATGCAATTAAATGCATCACTGCATTTAATTGAACACATAGAAAGGCACAGAAAGAATCTGCTTTATAAAATGTCTCTTAAATGCAAGTGTAGTGCTTCTCTTCTAAAATATTTTTGTTCTGTTTGCAGTGAAGATAAAAAGGACGTCCAAATTTTCAAGACTGGAAGATGCCGATATGGCAGAAGAACACTTTTCAAGAAAATGAAAGGGGCACAGACAGTCCAAATGGAAACAATGCCTTAAATGTACCTTCTATGTAGCTTGTCTTAATAAATAGATTTGCTGGTTTAAACAAAGTATTCTTACTCTATTAAAACCTGTGTTTATAAATATAGCAATAAGTATGGCACCCTCTGCTCCTGCCCCAGCTAGGGATGTTTGCGACCATGGGAGGCCAGGGGCATGCGCTGCCCCCTGAGCCTCTGGGCTCTGCTGCCTGGGGTGCAGCCATAGCAGCTGTGCCCCCTCATTCCTGGAGTGCCCATGTCACCACCCAAGAGTCACTTCTCATGACAAACATCAAAGTGAAATGGGAAAATTCATGACTTGTGGGAAAGGGTGCACTCCAGAGTGGGTCTGGCAACCTTTCCTGCAGGGTGTGCAAGACTGGGGCTCGGTCCTTGGCTTCACCCACTTGTGCACATGGGCAGATAGCCTTTCGTTCGCTTGTTCCCTTCTGTCCTGCTAAATACCTCTGTTTCCTGTGTGTTGCTTGAAATTAATTGCATTTGGGTTGCCTTGTGGTGCACTGGTAACACACAGATGGCTTCTACCTTTGATCCAAGCCAAGTGGAGCTGGCTGTAGCCCTGATCCCAGACAAGGGCTTCACCAGGCCCTGCTGGGCAGCAGCAGCAGAGATGTACAGCACACTTCATGCCTGATGACCGTTCACAGGTCAGTGACTTTGGTTCTGAAAAACAATAATGCTATTGTCTTATAGCTCTTTTAAAGGGTCGAAGCTGTCCTTATGTTCCAGCACATGCCTGCTTTCATTGCCTTCATGCAGACTAATCAGTGATGGAGGGATGTCATATGGACTTATTTTTTTATTTAAATCAGAATTTTGTAGTTCATGTGCGACAATGCTAGAAAGGCTAAATCATATCATGCCATATGGTCAGTATGATGGATTAAGTTTAAGTTAAAATGGTACATTATGTTTAGGACAATGCTGGTCTTATTTGTATGAAGAGTAGGGCTCACGCTTCTAGACAAGGCTTACTTGTATGAAGAGTCCTTACTCTTATGATTTAATCTGATTGCCTTCAGTGGTGCTGTTAGAGGTCTATTTTACATATGAGTAAGGTAGGAAGTCATCTAGAAGACAGAGTGCTAGATCAGCAAAATTAGGTGGCAAAGAGGAAAAGACAGCCTGTGGGTCTGTGGCTACAGTTAGTCTACACTGATGACTTCCACACACACTGATTGCCCAAAATTTGGACAACAATCTAGTTGTTCCTGATTGTCACCCAGGTGCCTCTTTGGTTGCAGGAATGGTTTCGCTGGTGGCAACTCCAGCTTCTGCTGCTCAGGGAAGTCACCCAGCAAAGGTTTTTGAAGCCAGACCATGCTCCTGTCCTTCCTCCTTTTGGAATCATTGGATTCTGCAGGTGTGTTACATGGAGGGGAAGGTGGTCAGGCAGTAATGAAGTACCCAGGTGCTGAGGCCATAGCCACATGGTATTTGGTCTAGCAACCCTCTCAGTCTCAGTCCCTAGAGCTCCTTAGAGCAGGTGGCATTCACTTTTCAACTAAACCAAGGCAGAAGCGGGTTTTTTTTCTGTTGAGATTATTTTTCTTTTAAACTTTTTTGCATTGCTCATCATACTGTAGTAAAGAGAGTCATTGAAAGCTGTAGTTTACCAGGATCTCACTATTTTTGTAAACTTCATTTAATTTGACTTATTTTCATGTATCTTGCTGTTATTCACCCTCCAGGCAAACTGATTTTTGGATGGAACAGTTCTGAAATTTTGTTGCAACTGCTGTAGCTGTTTTGCCCAACTTTCCTTTTGTTCTTTCTTGTTTCATTTTAAATTGTGCACTATAATTCTTCCAACTGTTTAAACATTGTCGTGGTTTAGGGACATTTCCAGCTGGAGCAAAGAGGTGTATTTCTCTCTCAAAGAGGTGTGTGGCATTGAGTCACGCCATGCCTGGCTCTAACAGGAATTGATAAAATCCCAGCCTCCTTGAAATTAAAAATCGACTGGTACGTAAAGGACTACTCATGCGGGTGGTGACCACCATGTTTGATTTATCAGATGCAGTAAAATCCACATGTCACATGGTTGACTGGCATCTACTCATGGCATTTATGAACTAAGTAAAATCAGTGACATAGAAAGATGTTACTGTAACCTTTAACATCAACAAACCTTATGCCAAGCATTCTCATTAGCTTATTACATCTGCACAAGGCTAACAAGGAATGATACCAGCTGAATGATCGTGAAACAAGATATGAAAGGATCTTTTTTCTGTCTGAGCTCAGGTGGTTGGATAATATTTTGTTTTATTAGGATTTTCTTCTATTTTCTAGCTTCTCAGGTCAAATGGAGGTCAGAAGATGTCTTACTGGCTTCTGCTAATGAAGGGTAGATATGAATGGGTTTTGTTCCTAAATTTCTAACTCTCCCACCTGTGGAAATAATTTTTAAAAATAGATTTGCCCAGGAAACAGGTAAATAAAATGTTCCCTGGGCTCCACGCACTGTTGCCCGGCACACACCGCTGGTGTATGTTTTCTGGGGCAGCTGGGCTCCAGCTCCCAGCTTGGTTGTGGGTAGTTTGGAAGTGCTCAGCGCCTTTCCTTCAGCCTCTCTTTTGAGGGTTTGCAGGTTTTCTCAACCAGAGGTGGTAACACACTGGTGTGAACAAGGAGGAAGGCATCTCTCCTTGAATTGCTGGCAGAGTCTGTCAGGACTAGGGATCCTGAAGAATTGGGTGTGATAGAAACGTATCAAACCCACCATGCTTCCACCAAAATGCTAAAGACTCAAAAAATAGTGTTAGCAGTTGAAAACCCTTGCCTGTTGGAGAACATCTATCCAAAGGCGCTGTCCAATAACAGTCACCCAGGAGACATTTCTCTCTTCCTCTTAGCCATATATATAGTATATACTCGTATTAGCCATATATATAGTATATACTCGTATAGAGCCGTTTCGTTTGCCTGAGTGGCACAGAAACACAAGCAAGAGCAGAAGGGAGAGGTCAAACTGGGAAGCCATGGTCTGAAACCTGTGGGATACAGGGCAGAATGAAGGGCTTGAACCTGTGAATCTCTATATTGCTCCCTAGGCGGCAGCATTTGTTCTCTTTTAAATCTCATTTTATTTTGTGTTCTCAGTAGAGAAAGCTGTTCCTATTTAAGCTATGTTGCTCCAGCTTCCCCAGTGGCAGAGGCAAAAGGGCTGAAAAATCCCACAGTAAAGCAGAGAATAGGGCTGGGACTGAGATGCTGAACTTGTCTAATAATAGTCCGGTTATAGTGGGATATTGCAGCAAGCCTCAAACTGCTGCCCTGGAAGGGACTGGGTTTCCTGGAAGTCTTTTTTCTTCTCTGCCAGTCCATTTAAAATATTTTGGGTACCCAGCAAGCTGCAGGTGTCTGTAAACGGACACCTGGAGTGAGCCCTCTCTCTTCACCTCTGTTTGAAGAGCATCTGTCAAAGTGAGGAGCAGGTCCTTTAGGAAGCTTTGAGGCTGTTCTACAATAGCTATCTTCATGCATACCCTCATCTTCTGGTAAGCATTGGGAAACTACAAGTAGCTTGTTTCTCTATGTGAATTTCTAAAAATCAGCTTTGCGTTTACATGGGATTCAGAGCTTTTCTGGGGATTTTTTTTTTTAAATGGAGTAGGTGGTGTCTGTAGATTTATGGATATGCTTGCCTCACAAGGTTGAAACAAGGTTCCTTAAGCTTATGCTAGGAGGCATAAATACAGCTAGAATGCACAATGTGGTAGTGAAATGATTGTGAATAGGAAGTGAGGTCGGTGATTAAGTTTATCTAACAAGAATCATGGAATCAGTAATGTTGGAAAAGACCTTTAAGATCATCAAGTCCAACTGTAAACATAACACTGCCAAGTCCACCACTAAACCATGTGCAAGCAACACGTCTACACATCTTTTAAATCTCTCCAGGGACAGGGAGTCCGCAACACCCCTGGGCAGTCTGTTCCAGTGCTTGACAACCATCTTGGTGAATACATTTTTCCTAAGATCCAATCTAAACCTCCTCTGGTGCAACTTGAGGCCATTTCCTCTCATCCTAGCACTTGTTACTTTGGAGAGCTCCTATTTACCATGATCAGGCACACTGGCATTTCTGCTCACCCAGCAGAGCTGTAGGAACACCGCTGAGCCCATGACAGCCCTGAGATGTACTCAGATCCCTGATCTGTTCTCGCTGTCAGTAATATGGGACACAGTCAGGGATTGGGTGGCCAGGCTGAAAGCAGGAGCTGGCTTGAAGTGGTGAACGTACATCCAAAACCATGCCACACAAACTAAAGATATAAGGACAGAGCATGAAGCTTTGGGCTTCACTCTGTGCCCTGGGAGCTCACAGGGTGAGATGTATGAGCTGCAGGGACCTCCTTTCCTGGCACCAAAGGAGGGAGTATGGAGTGACAAGTTAAGGACAAGCAGAGTTTAATCCAGGGTGGCAGATACTGGAACATGTCAGCCCCTCCTAGCTACCTGTGTCCTCTCTGCCAGACTTCATGGTCATTCCAGCCTGCTAGCTAGGAACAGGAGACATTTCCTTACATCAAGCCCTCTCTGGAGAAGATCTTCCGAGCCAGGACTAGACCTAAGCCAAGAAACAGCCTTCAAAGAAGAGAGAAGAGCCCAGCTAGGGAAAGCAGACACACTGTCTGTATGCCATACCAGCCAGCCAAGAGACGGGCACATAGACACTCGGAGCAACGTGAAGGCAACCCCATGTCAGTGCCAGAAGCCTGACCTCACTGCTGATAGGAACTGACACCTCCTGTCCTTTGTGTCCCTCAAACCACTCCCCTCCAACAGAACAAGGAGCACAAACAGATGCCGCAGGCAAGTGTGGGACTTCCTCACACAGTGGTGCAGGTACAGCTTCTTCAGCTCAGGTTTGTTGGGGCGTTTGTGCTTGTTCGAGCCTGCTGGGCTCTCCCATGGGTTGAGCACTCTCCAGCTGCTTGCTTGTGCAGCGCAGCACCCTGTTCCCACTGCTCCTCCCTGGAAAGCAAC